GTCGCCGAGGCACTTTGGGCAACACTCATGGACACTGAAAAGTCTAAGGACAACCCTAAGGCTAGAGTGGACCTGACAACATTGTGCGATAGACCAAATCAAGAGATGCAGCCTCCTAGTCGTGGTAAGACCTGGAGAAGACCTAAGGCCGATTTCATCTTAAAAAAGGACCAAAGGAGGGAAGTACTTGAATGGATCAAGACACTAATGTTCCCTGATGGGTATGCAACTCGAAAGTGCAAGTGCATTGACCACTAAGCAATTGTAAAATGAAGAGTGGCGCAGTATCATGCTATATGTGTTGACCAACCTTGTCGAGGTGCAATCGTTCATTGGGTAAGTTCTGAACGAACTTGTTTCATTTCATCGTATGTCCTTGTTTCTTCGTCCAACCCCCTTGTTTCTCGTTGGTACAGGGAATTTCTTCGTCAATCCTGGCATGGATCAAGGCAACCTACCCCGCAAGAAAATGATACCCTTCTTTCACGGGGTGCGGGACCAGGGAGCCCCGATTTCATTTGTTGGTTCAAACAGAAAGCTCAAACTGATGCGTCTATAAGTGACGAGCTGAGACAGGTTGCAAACGGCTGTGCTGTTAGGGTCAAGTCATTTACCGGTTATGACGTGAATGGATATTATTTTCACACAGCAAGCTACGAGCAGAGTCGGCCCAATCGAAAAACCACAAACAACGGAGTTGTTACGCTCGGCATTGATGGACTCGACTATTATGGAAGAATTGAAGAAATCTATGAACTATCATTCTATGGTTCCAAACCTCTTACTCCTGTCATATTCAAATGCCACTGGTTTCATCCTGGAGTAACGAGACGGACCCCTAAGCTTGGGCTAGTCGAAATTCGACAGGATTCCGTCCATCCAGGAAAAGATGTCTACATTGTGGCTCAACAGGCCGTCCAGGTTTATTATACGCCATACGCGTGCAAAGACGCCGAGCATCTTAAGGGTTGGTCTATTGTGCACAAGGTATCGCCACACGGTAAACTACCTGTCCCAAACGATGAAGATTACAACTTCAACCTAAACATATATGATGGAGAGTTCTATCAAGAAGAGGGACTACAAGGGAGGTTTGACATAGACTTAACCGAAGAGATAGGAATGGAAGTAGACAATGAAAGGGATAATGATGAGGACGCTGGAGACGAGGTGCAAAATCTGAAGGACATACAAATGCTTAAGCGATTACGTTTAGGCAATGACAATGAAGACAACATTCCTCCTTCGGATAGTGTTGATGAGTTGGACAATATTGATAGTGATGACGAGACCTATGATCTAGCTAATCTCAATCATGAAGATTATTTATAATACATGTAATACTATGTTTTTTGTAATTATATTTTGTTCATTTTTGCACCTATTTCTAATTACGTCTTGTTTTTCTATTTTGTTGCAGGTGATTGAACAAAGATGGCGGGCGACCGTCTTAGGTCCGTGAACTCGATTTACCAAAGATCACGCCGGCTGCAGGAGGAGGCGGCGAAGGGATCGGACAGGAGGAGGAGGAGGACCGCCGGACGCAGGAGGGGGCCGTCTCCTCCCACGCCGTGTGAGGAGGAGCCGGAGGAGGAGGTGGCGCCCGTGGACGAGTCGGACGATGAGCTGGTTCGGCAGACGAACGAGGAGGGGCCGCACGAGGACGATGAGTTGGAGGCGGTAGGCACGGGTTCCACTTCCTCTGACTCCTCTTCGAGTGTCTACTTGCGAGGTCCCGCGAGCCTCCCACATGTTCTGCTTCCTCCCCAACGCCCAGTGATTCGCCCTGAAGGGCAAAAGTAAGTAACTTTATATGTTATCACCACTACTTCATATGATATGATGAAAAAACTAATAATTTTTCTTAATTACTTGTGCAGGAACTGGGTGGTTGTGTCGGGTGGTAACGCACAGCTAGTCAACGGCATCCTGGGTCTTCTGTGTAGGCAACACTTCCCCGGCATTGTCACGTACGCATCGAAGACGGAGCCAGCCTACTCGTTTGACCACTATGCCGTCGCCACCGATGTGGAGTACCCCAACAAGGCGGCGCGGGTGAAGGCAGAGCTTTGGGTAAGTCTCTCTCGCACAACATTGCTCAATACGTCACATTCATTGGACTTTTCTTAAAATAATGAATGGATACATCGCTTTTGTATGCAGACTTATTATAGATGCGAGGAGGGATTTGAGGCCAAGGCAGAGCAGGTGACTACCAAAGCCTATAAAAAACTCGTCACCGACATGCATCACGAGGCACGCATCCAGGCCATCGTAACCTACTATGGGTCGAAGCTTGGAGAGAGGAAAACCAAGAAAGATGCAAGAGAGATGCAGCTGACCCGAGAGCAGTACCTTGAGGTAAATGAAGAACATCAATATTGAATCGTTTTGAGATTAAGTTGGTTTAATTTGATCTTCTTATATGTCCAATACTTGATGACGTGTAGATGATTCCCTGGTGGTGCTAAGCGTATCCCGAGTGCTGGGCGATGATGGTGGAGAGGTGGTTCACGGAGGAGTACCTCAAGATGCACAGGGATGCCTAGGACCGTCGTTTGCAGATGCAAGGTCCAGCACACCATCAAGGCAGCCGCAGCCTCATCGGATACAAACAAGCATGGGTACGCGAATTCATTTATCTATTGTGACGCTCAGTTCTGCCTGATTTGTAATCATCGTGCTGTCTTTCTCGCAGTCGGCGTCACATAGTGGTCAGGCTTGCTCGAACTTCCAGGCATGGTGTATGGCCCACAAGGGCAAGGCGACGTCCGATGTCTCCTTCAACCTGGAGGACCCGCCCGAGCGTCCACACCCGCATCAGTGAGTACACTGAGGTGGCGAGGTCGCTCCATGGGTCAGACCACGATCCGAGCACCCAGGACTTCGATGGAGAGGCCGTCATGAGGGCGGGGCAAGGCAAGAAGCATGGGCGGTTCTGGTTTGGCGACGGCGTCATCGACACGGTCTCTACTCCCTCTCTCTCCCAGATCTGAGCACGGAGCACAAGCGAGAGCCCGACCATTCGCACACGGCCGACCGCTGCACAGCACCGAGTCGACGCACTCGAGGTTATTCCTGTTTTACTCGTCATACATTGATCTTTAAACACCTTAATTAGCTTTGCATTACTGAAACATTGAAGTAAAATATTACAGGCCCGGCTGGAACAAGAAATGAGGCAACGTCAGGAGCTGGCGGCCCAGCTGGACACCGAGTGGACCGAGCGGCGGGCCTAGGCGTAGAGGCTGATGGACATTACGGAGTTCCTACAAGGGCTTGGGCAACGTGTAGGCTTCTCTCTACCAGCTGGGTTGTTGGTTCCACCTCCGTCTTCGCGTCCTGCAGCTGCAGCTACTACTGTGAGTATGAAAGTTTTTTACTTTTGCTTGTGCTTTGCTTGTATGGCCTCTATCTTCCTAGATTAGCTATCTAAATAATCTTGTCTCATATGCAATCTTTACTCCTTTGTGTAGTCTCCATCTGACGGTGGTTCGAATAATCCACCTCATGCACCTCCGAATGATGCAGTTGGGTCTTCACCACAGTCACAGTGGCCGAGATGAGTGCACGTTGTATTTTTTTTATTTGTTGTTCACTTAGTGATGGACTTGTGATATACTTGTGATGCACTTGTGGACTTTGATGGACTTGTGGATTTATTTGGATGGACTTGAGCAGTTATTATTATATATGTGATATATATTGTGATGGATGTCGTATGTGCGGATGGATGTGTGGATGGATGAGATATAGGCCCCGTTCGCTTGTCTTAAATTTGGCTTGTTCGGTTTATTTTTTCAGCCGGAACAGTGTTTTTCTCTCACAACAATTCAGCCGGAACAGTGTTTTTCAGTCAGTTTCAGCCAAAGTTCAGACCAGCGAACGAGGCCATATATGTGATGAATGAGATATATATGTGATGGATGAGATATATGATTGTATGAATTTATTTGTCACGATGGAATGTAAAAAAAATTAAAAATAGCCGTTTTGGGTCACTTTGTCGAGTGTTGCACTCGGCAAAGGAAAAAATGGGCTGACCGAAAACCATTTTTCCAGCTTTACCGAGTGCCACAACCATGGCACTCGGCAATGAATTTAAAAAAAAAATCCAACTTTGCCGAGTGCCGGCCAGAGGACACTCGGCAAAGATTTTTTAAAAAAAAATTCAAACTTTGCCGAGTGCCGGTAAGAGGGCACTCGGCAAAGATTTTTTTTTAAAAAAAAAATTCAAACTTTGCCGAGTGCCGGCCAGAGGGCACTCGACAAAGAATTTAAAAAAATTTAAACACTTTTAAAAAAAATTCAAACTTTCTTGAAAGCATGGGCAAGAGGGCACTCAAGCAAAGAATTAAAATAAATCAAACTTTGCCGAAAAGTGTCGCATTTCAGAGGGCACTTTCGGCAAAGATTCCCACAAAAAATTCAAACTTTGCCGAGTACTGGCCTGAAGGCACTCGGCAAAAAATTAAAAAAAATCAAACTTTGCCGAGTGCCGGCCCCAGAGGGCACTCGGCAACGAATTTTTTTTTAAAAAAAAATCAAACTTTGCCGAGTGCCGGCCAGAGGGCACTCGGCAAAGAATTAAAAAAAATTTAAACTTTGCCGAGTGACGGCCAGTGAGCATTCGGCAAAGATTTTTTTTAAAAAAAATAAAAAAATCTTTACCGAGTGCCTGCAGGGTTGACACTCGGCAAAGAATTTTTTTAAAAAAAAAAATCTTTGCCGAGTGCCTACAGGTTTGGCACTCGGTAAAGCCACCGTCAACGGGACTGGCGCCGTGACGGTCGCTTTGCTTTGCCGCGTGCCCCGTCTTTACCGAGTGTCCGATAAAAAACACTCAGTAAAGAGGGTTTTGTCGATCAATTTTTTACCGTATGTTCTTTGCCGAGTGAATCCAGTAGTGACACCACGCTTTGAAAGGCTTCGAACGAAGTTAATATGGGAATAAATTCCGGTGGGAACACCGGCGTTCGAACCCGGGGCAGCGTGCTCACCTGCACCGCATGCCAACCGAGCCAGAGCTCGTTCTCGACAAGCCTATCAGTTGCATGAAGAGAAACGAAACGAACACACACCGTGCTTGTGAAATCAAGGATACGAAGCAGCCCAAGCTGACCCGAAGCACTCCTACGGACTGGAAGCACTTGGAAGTCCCCTGCTCCGCAGACCGGCACATCTGAAGGTGTAATCGGTGACGGTGAGCACAGAACGCGACCTCCCTCAAACCGCAAATGCGAGAGCTGAATTCTGAAGGGAAGGGAAGACGGAAGAGGAACCCACGATGCAGGCCGCGGAGCGCCCTGGCCCCGTAGTCCCTGACGAACCAGGCCAGCAGGTTGGTGGCGAAGAAGACGAACCCGTACGCGTACCGCGCTCGCAGCGACTGCCGCCGCCTCGCCTCGTACGCGCCGCCGTCTCCGCGCGGCTCCGCTCCACCTGACTTGATCACAGTCATATCCCCGGCTGCTCAGTGCTCACGCCGCCGTCGTTCGTTGCCTCGTTGCTGCTCCCACCCCGTCGGTCCAGCGACGGGTTTCCTGCGCGGAGGCGGAGCAGCAGGGTTGGGAGCGCGCTTGCTTAGGGTCGCCGCAGCAATGCCCTGCGAAATTCGGACGCGGAACGGCGGAAGCGAAGGGAAGCGGGAACTCACGGGCGGCGAGCTGCTCCGGCGGTCCGGCTCCGGGGGTACGGTGGTGCGGAGAAGCGGCTGCCTCGTTCGCTTTGCGCCTTATTAAAAGCCGGGCGCAGCGGGCAGGCTGTGTTGCAGGCTGCTGCAGCCGTGGGCCGTGGTCCCAGACGTTTGGAATTGGAATTCGCCTGATGCTGCGAGATGCCGAGATCCGACGGCTGTGGACGCGTGATGCAAGAACCCAAGGGACAGGTGGCTTCAGCTGCTGCCTGCTAATAGAACTAGAACTACTACTACTGTCCCCGGGGTTCCTGCGCGCCTGGCCCCGCACGTCAGAGAGATGCTTTTCACGCGCACCCGCGTACGTCCAGGCGACCGTTGCGAGTCGCGGCGCTCGCGTTTTTTAAGCGCACGGGGTGGGGACTTCCGGACTGCGGTGCAGCGTGACCCGTACGCCCGTTTTTCTCCCAGAAATCGCGGTTTGACGCCGCGGACGCTTGTCCTACCGTGCAATTCGGGGAACGCGCGATCGAGCAGAGGACGCTGTTGCCCGGACGAAATCACGAACACGAAGCCACCGATCTGATACGTGATACCTCTGCGCCTTACACAGTCCGTGTGTGCCTTTGGCTCGTTCAGTCGTTCGATAGGGCAAGTTTCTTGGGGTTGGGTGAGGAAAACGACGAGCGCCCCCAGATTTCGGGCAGACAGGCTTCTGGACATTTGAAACGTGGGAGCCGTTCCCGCGACCCGGCTCAAAAAGACACGGCGGTAGGTTCGTCCGCATACTGCTTTTGCTGTTCTTGAGGCGCAGTTAAGCAGCTATCTGCTTGTCTTGTTCTGTTTCTTCTTTGGGCCAGTTTAGTTCCCAAAATTTTTGCCAAATACATAAAAGATAAAATGGGGTAGCAGCACACCAAAATGCTGACACCAAAAGTTTTTACATTTTGCTGTTTAGTTGCCAAGAATTTTGCATCGATATCAGCATTGAATAGTAAATTTCGGTTGCATTAATTGTGTTCCATGCAAACTGCATGACCACTCCTCATCCAACATTTATTCAGAGCATTCACATTCAACAAAACTGTCATCCATATTACATCATAGACTGTGCTCAAGCATTCACAGAAGCCGTAACACACTGTACTATAGAAACATGTACTGAACCACACAAAACTGTCAATTACGATCCATCAGAGCAGTAGCAAGCGAATCACGGATGACATTCATGCATGACCACTCCTCATCCTCCACTGCCTCGAGTTCAGGTTGATTTTCATAAGCTTGTCTCGGCACAAAGTTCTCATTTCGGTCACACCTACCGAAATGCTTATCTGGTAAGCCACTAGTCCTCACAAAATTATGAAGAGCCATACATGCACAAATGATTTTGGCTTGCTTATCAAGTGAATAAGGAGGGATCTTTTGCAAGATCCGCCACTTCATTTTCAGTACCCCGAATGACCTCTCAATAACATTCCTAAGAGAAGAGTGTGTGTAATTGAAGAGCTCTTCTTTACGTTGTGGCTCGGGCCCGTCGTGGAAGTTCTGGAGATGGTACTTGGTTCCCTTGTATGGAGCAAGATAACCCAGCCGGTTAGGATACCCGGAGTCCACTAGATAGTATTTGCCTACAGCAGCAAACAAATTATGAGCAACAGGTACATAACCAACAAGGAACAATTGCACTCATGTGTACCTACGTACCATTTGGTGGATGTGGAAAGACTGCGGAGTATGTTGTTGTTGAATCATTGAACACTCTCATGTCATGAACAGATCTTGGTGACTCGAACCGGACGAGCTTCGGGCCTCCTTCTCGCTTAGGACACCCTCGCTGATCTCCTTGGTCTCCATATGGTTCTTCAAGCATGGTCATATGTATGGAGGTCATGTCCTCATTATCCTCCCTTTCTTGACGAAAAGCCGTCCTCGACGTAGATTTTGTTTGAAGTCGATCCTGCACAATATGAGGACAAACGAGGTTTCCAAAATAATGGGAATGGACAATGTTGTGAGAAAGAATATAACCACATGTCCAGGTTTGTAGCTTGTCTTGTCCTACAAATATGTAGTCTGCTCGATTGAAATACACACGATCTTTGTCAATGCTATCCTGCAAAAGATTAGTACTAACAAGAAACATATGCTCCCTTTCTTTGGATTCCACTTGTGTTCGAAAAGCAAAACTAGAGAAATATGGCATAACAACAATGTTGATTTTACTGTCCTCTAGTTGATCATTACTTTGCACAACAAAAGGAGAATTCAGATTCGTACAAATGTAAACTTGTTGTATCAAATATTGTCGTTGGTTGTTATATTTGCCAAAAACATGATATGTATGTCTAGAGAACCATGGCAAATCAGTATATGCATAAAGTTTCTCCTCTAAAGAACTAAGATTACACGGAACATCAAATTCAATGTAACCCAAAGTATTTAAATAAGACAACAATTTTAGCTCATCAACTTCACTAGCATTATAAATAACAAGTCTATTTTCAGCACAAGTGTTCGATTTCAGCGCACATATAGCATGATCATTCTTCAATGATTGTATGGGTATAACATAAATATCATCATGCAAGTCATCTTTGTCACAAGGAACATCAAGCAAATCATCTTGTGACAAAGGTAAATCAAGCGAAGGCTCCACTAAAATTTGCTCTATCATAGCATGATTGGTGGAAAAATTCAGCACATCAAGAGAACTCTCACCTTCCGTGAGTTTAGCATCATCGGCATTACCTTTGCTCTCATGTTCAGCAGGAGTAATAGTTGATGGTTCTGAATTTTCACATGAGACTCTGAGCATCTCCTTTTCTGTCACGTCATCCTCGCTCTTTTATACATTGTTCTGCAAAAGGTTAGGCATAGTAGGAGAAATAACAAGAGATTGATCTAGTTTATACACCTCATCATTTGAATTAATTACAAGAGATGGATTAACAAAATTTTCTCTCATAAGATGTTTCATATCATTCCAAGTTTGAGGTTTATCAGAAGGATCTAAAGACTCCCACCAAGATAAAGCAGAATGTCGCAAAACACTAGCTGCATTTTTTACCTTCCTCCTTGGACACATAAAGCGAGTAGCAAATATGTTATCGATGGTAATTTCCCACTCCATGTACTCATCAGCACCTATACCATCATGGGTCGATGGATACGAACAACCTGTTATTGTTAGAAGACAGCAAAAGACAACACAAAAATATTATCCCTATCAACTACTTAGGTTGTGGACTAGGAAAAACAAGGCACTCAACTCTCAAGCGTCTTACCACGGTCTTACAAGTGTTCTTACCAAAGCAACAGGCGGTGCAATCGGTCGGTGACTATGATACCGTTGTAGCTCAAGTGTAACAGTTGCAAGGCGAACCTATACTTGGTTAGAAGAAAGTGGAGCTTGGACATGCACAATATAGTAGCAAGGAATAGCAATAATTCGTAACTGAATAGCAAAGCTGAATAAGTATCCCAAGTACTTGTCTTAGTTGCTGGCCTACTCACGTTCCAAGTACCAGATGTATCAAGTGATATGAACAGCAAGAATATGATTAGGAACAAGGTAGAAATCAGCACACGCAAACACAGCTCAAATGGTGCTCTCTATGTGCTCGTCTAAATATTGTTACTCTTTTGCCCCCTCTCTTTTTTCTATTTTTGGGCTGTGGTTGTTTTTTGGAAAATTTCAACTTTTTCTTTTTATTTTTTTGATATTTTTCTTTTACTTAGGAGCACAAAATAAGTAACCACAGAAAATATGAGCTCAAACAAGTGAAAGACGTGGCCTATGGAATTTTCAGAAGACGTGCTCAAAATCGACAAAAACCTGTGACCACGAAAAGACGATCTTGTGACTATTTTTTGACCAATTTAAAATTTTTGAACCCTGACATGTCAGGGATGGACGGATCCGAAATTTTTTTCTGATCAATTTTGATATATGGAACGTCGAAATCCGAGTTCGTATGCGAAAACTAGACCAGTTTTATGAATTAACTCCGAATTAGAGGACAAAACAGGAACAATGCGCGCAAAATTGGTCACGACAGCAAGGAATTGATGCAAACAGTGAAGACAAGTGTATAAAATTAGATGGCGTGGACTAGGGTTTGATGGAAACAAAGGAAACACAACAAGACTTGAAGGTGTTCACGAATTATGATGAAAAACAAAGGAAAAACACAAACTAGACTCAAAACGATCTAAAACCAGCAACCAGAACTTAGACCTAGGGCACAAACTCAACAACGCGAAATAGAAATGAAATTGCACGGCACAATGAGATTATAGGACAGGGAATATGTGGCGGTATATATATTTTTGGCTTTTTGTGGACTATAGGTAAGGCAAAAACAGTAATAATCTAAAAGGAAAACAAAGTTATACCTAACGGACAACAATGTCTCTGATACCACTTGATGTAGACTAGGCCCGATCTTTCGAAAGGTATAATAGCGTCGATTGATGGAGACTCGACGTTCACGATCTAGGCTTCGAACCAAGACTGATTCAGAGCCCCGCAACCGTTACACCACTGCTCCGTTGGTTATCAACCATGCGAACGCGATTGACCTCGCCGAGAAGGCTCTCCTGTAAGCGAATCGAGAACACAAGCAACAACGAGATGAACGTAATCTGAAATTGCAAATAAATATGAGGCTTATGAAAATAAGGAGTTCAAGTCTTTATTCGAAAGGACTAATCGTCATAGGCGAACAAGATCAAGAACTGGGGCCCTGGTTCACAGCAAGCAGCCTTGGCGACGACAGTTGCAGCAAAACGATGTCTGTTTCACGAGGAAATCAAGAACTAAA